CGCCAAGAAACAGCCAAACCCCGCCTCCTCGCCAAGAAACAGCCAAACCCCGCCTCCTCTCCCTCTCGGGTGGGCGACACGACCTAGGTGCCCTCGAAGGGCGGGGCCTCCTAAACCCAGTGATAGGGGCCCAAACCTCACCAGGACCAGGGCCCCTTTAACGCCCCACCTCCTCGCCGCCTCCTGCGTCCCCGTGGATGACGTAACACAGGCGGGCTACCAATGGAAACGCGGTTTACTGGCAGGCGGCGCCGGCGGCTGCTGCCAAGGAGGAAGTAAACTGGGGCCAAAGCTATGGCCCGGGTGTGGAGCCCGCGGCAGCGGCTGCCGCCACCAGCGCGTTGGGAGCAGCCGCGACCTGCGCCTGGGCTGGGGCCGGAGTCGCAGCTGGAGTGGGGACGGCGCGTGTGAGTTACCGAGAGGCGCCGGTGCAGGGACATCTCAAACTCTGATCGGGAGTGCTTCAGGTGGTCGGAACCGAAGCCGCCCCTCAGCACCGCGCCCCCCAGGACCAGGCAGCTGGACTGGGTCTCCGCAGGTGTGGGACTGGCTCCTCCCGGGCCGGCCCCCTCCCCGAGCTGGACTCTGGGTTTTGCCACTGGCTCCCTTCAAACTCAGGACGGGCCGCGGCACACAGTGATCATCCGAGACCAGGGCTTTCTGGCCCGTACAGTTTTCCGGTCCCCAGGGTTGTGTCTGAGTAGCTGCGGCCAGGAGTCCCCTCCTGCTGCCACTTGTCCAGCCAGAGAGGGGCTAGCGTGTTCCCACGGACCCCTTCTGCGCTCTCCTCTCCACTTAGAAGCAAGTTTCTATTCCCCCTCAATTGGAAATCCTGCACTGGAGATCCAAAACAGGCCCTTCCCCAGCACCTGGAGCACTCTTAGAAATGTAAGTACTTATCAGAGTTAAGAATCATTCTTGACTTGGCCTTTTCTCCCCCGTTGGTTTTGGGGAGATAAAAAGTTGCTCACTTTCCAGCCTTTTAATTAATTACCCCCAGGACCTTGCGCATTTGAATCACCAGCTCCCTGGCTACCTCTATGTAGTGACTTCCTCCACCCACCTGAGTTCCAGTTTCTTCTGGACTCCAACATCTAGCTCCCAACGGATCTGGTCAGTCCCACCTCTGGGTGGGAGTGACCAGAGGGGGCTCCAGCCCAGAATCCCCCACCCTGGAAGGCAGCTCCAAGGCAGCTAGAGAACTGGGCGTCGGGTACGAACCTGGCAGCTCAGGAGTCGGTGCTCCACTCACCCCACACAAGAAGATGAAAAAACGCAAAGAACTCAATGCATTGATCGGCCTGGCTGGGGACAGTCGCAGAAAGAAGCCCAAGAAAGGCTCAGGCCACCGCCTACTTCGCACTGAGCCTCCTGATTCCGATTCCGAGTCTAGCTCTGAGGAAGAAGAGGAATTTGGTGTCGTTGGAAGTCGCTCTCGTTTTGTCAAGTGAGTTATGCCGTGTTGAGGGGCGGGATGGGAAACGCATCTTGCACTACCAGGGGGCAAATTTAAGGAAAGAAAATCTGATCGTGACCTTGAAAAACAAAGGGGGGGAGGTTTAAGGTGTTATGTAGAAGACAAATATAGATGTTGAATGAAGGCTGGGTTAGGGATCTGTAAGTTTGGGGGGAGGTGCAGGAAGAGGGGGGTACAGCTCAGAATCTACAGTGGAAGTGTGGATTTGGGAGATATGCCCAGAGCACAAGGAGACTATGGTGGAAGTAGAAGACATACCAAGAACAGTGAAATAAAGGCAGGTGGGCTTTGGTGTTACGCCTCTAAGAAAAATGTAGGTGAGGGACCTTCAGACTGCAAATTACTTTATTTTTGCACTCCTAATGAATCTGAATCCTGGAGGTGGGAAAATAGGATGCCAGACATAGTACAAGTCTGAGCCTTGAGAGTAGGTGGAGGGTGGGGTCAGAAGAAGACGCAACATTTTCCCTAAATCAAGTAGTGGTGCGCTTCGAGGACTTTAGGATTTGGACTTAGTGGGAAAAAGAACTGAAGGGAGCCTTGAAGGTGCCCTTGAACACTATCCAGCAGGATGCTGAAAAAATTTGGATTCTGCTGAGGACATAGAAGCAAAAATGAGACAAAGTTGTGGTACTCCCTCCCTGACCCATAAACCTACAGGGGACAACACCAGAGACACAGTGTGGGAATTGCACCCAATCTGATCCTGCCACACCGAGGCAAAACTCTAAAGGGGTACAACAGAACAGCAAGGGAATGGAGCAGCAAGGTCACCAGGAAATGCTGAAGGTGGACTTTGGGGCCAGGGCATGGTGCCCCAACAGATTGGACTGGAAAACACTCCTAAAGGCCAACAAACAGTCCTTGAACTAACTACAAGATTTTATTTCTTGTGTTTTGTTTTATTTTTTGTCATTGGTTTGT